AGCATGCATAAGATGATGGGGGTGACTACTGTAGTTGGTTTCTCCGCTCGAAGTTACGGCGGATTCACTTGAAGTTACAACGGATTCACTTGAAGTTGAAAAGGTATAGACTATTTGTCCATGGGTATTTCCCCTTTTACTGTACTTCACATTGCGTAACAAAAAATGTCGTTTGTTGATGTTTCTTAAGCAACAGTACTTATTCTGAAGACGAGTAACCCTTTTTAACAAACAGATCGACTGCGTTCTGTTTTGTTTAGTTCTATGGCCTGAGGTAGGAATGGGCGAGGTACACTTAAGGTGTAACTGGTTTTGGTTGCTGAGCCATCGATGATAGTCAGCCCGTTCACCCAAGTTCACCGCAAAAACTCCAACTTATGTCACTGAACAAATATTGCTATTCCAATAGACCTGTGATTCTCGTACATCGCTCGGATTGCACCGTAAGCCCAAAACTCGTCCCTGGTCGTAGTTACTATGGTCTACTTTGAGTCTTGAGCTATCGTGAATGTTAGTGCAACTACGATCAAATGTACTTTAGCTGCAGTGGGCACGAAAAGTGCGTCACCCCCCGTGCTTATCGAGTAGTGTCCAGCTTGGTTGTCACACCCAAATAGCATGGCTTCACCGACCCACCGATTCGACGTCTGTCACAGAGCTCGACAAGATGCATGACTGAGGTCGGCCTCATTTCAAGACAGAAAGAGCGTGGGAAGACAGTGGTCAATCCGGGGTTAGAAAAGGTGTGATCAATTGACCAACTAGCCAGCAGATCCAACCACTGCGATTCTTTCTCAATTCCAAGTTATGATTTCTCTATTCAAAATGACGGTTTCGCAAATGAAACTTATAGTTTCTCAAATCTAATTTAAATGGTATAGACCCCTCCCGCATAAACAAAAATCGTAAATCTACGGTGCCTTATTTGGCCCGTATTCTAAATAACAAAGAACAGGTTTTCACAGATCTTGTTGAAAGTTTCAGAACGTAACGATTTTCTTTCTCCCTCTTTCTAATTTGTGCACACTTTGGACTGAAGTGCAAGCTTTACCACTATAGATGTCATAAACAAAGTGCAATACAATACATACTTTACCGTATTTGTGGTGCTGAGATTGTACATTTTAGTCTGGGTTGCATAATTCCTAACCTCCCATTACAAGAACTGTATCTTTTTCCTTCTCTCTGCTACAAAGATAAACAACTTTTGGTACGGAAAATACGAATTTGGACACGAAGCTAGGGGGTAAGACGGGATCGATCTCCAACGCTAAGCTTTGAATGCCCGCAGTTTGCCGTGGATACGAGTTGACGATAGTGACCGAAGCTTTTTAATTTTTAAAAAGGAAAGCAATGTAATCGCTTTGGGTGAAATAATTTCGGAATGCTCAATCCCTATAAAGGTAAAAAAATATATTGTTCTCCGCTAAAAGCATGAACTCATTTGTGAAAAATCACAATGTATTCAATTAGTTATCCAGTATTTTTGATTATTATCATGAATTTAATGCATATCACTCAATTCGGTGGTGTAAATCAATGAAATAAACAGTAAAATACTGTTAGCAAAAATTTTATTACTATAGTCACAAATTATGGTAATGTATAAATAAGTGATAAATGTGTTTGCAGAAATAACCATACAATATTCACATATGTGCATGTGTAATTGCCAAGTTCATGAAACATTTGTCTTTTAGCGTGCAGTTTAGGAAATCGATTCGGTTGTTCCCGAAGTCAGTAGTGCTTTCCCATTAAGCTTTAACCGGAACCCACAACGCGTAAAGTGATACCACAAAAATTAAACGTCTACGGTTTCGTACCTTCATTTGAAGTGAACTCCGCTTTTCAGATGTGGATACATCAACAGTCCAAGGATAATAAACACCGTTCAAAAAATGCACTCCTAATAATATCATCAGTTTAATAAAGCTGCAACATTTGACATAATAATAACGGCCACGGCTCAAGAATTACGGGATTTGTCTAAGGCTTGGTGGAAGAAAGTGTGATCAAAGGGGTGTCAATTGTGAACAGTGTTTATTATCCTCGGTCAGTTAATGTATCCACATTTCAAGGGAGGAGCTCATTTTAGGTAAAATATCTTTTCCTTCTTTCTTCTTTTTCATTTTCACTTCCTTTTTTATTGAACATACAAGGATACAATTTTCAGGAAGAGGGAAGCGGCCAATCAAAGGGCTGCCATACAACACACAAATGGGGAGTCAGGCGGTGGTGGTGGGATTCGAACACACGTCCCCCTGGGTGATAATTTGGTGACGTTACCACCGGGACACCACTGTCCGAAGCATTCATTTTTTTATGGTATCACTTTGTGATTTATTTCAGGGCTTGTGAATACAAAACGATATACCGTTTGTATTGCCTTTGAGACTTTATTCACAGAGGTATCACAGGTTATACAGAAACACTGAACCTGTAAGAGATATGCCAAATGGTTTGACGCTACAGGCGTATCGTGTAAACATTCTCCAATCAACATATGGTGCATCATGTGACCACTACAATTTCCCATTTCTTAACCATGCTATGCAGCATCAACATTTGTAGAAAATAATTTTTTTAACTTTCATTGACTTCAGAATATTCTGATACTTTTTAATCTAATTCGTCTATCACGGCGTGACTAAAATTCGAGTTTCCTGGCCAAACGATTACGGGTAGTGGCTAAGGTGATGCAGGTTTTTGCTCAAGAATTGTGAGTCGAGGCTAAAGGACCGCGGACTGAGGCTTGAGCATAGTGCTGAGTTCCGGGAACGGTGGGATTCTCGTTCACAGTTCATTGACTTGCTCAAATTTTGGCATTTCTTCCTTATTTAGCATATTGTATATTGTTCCTCCAGCACCGCCTGATTCGAAAGACTGCTTTAACAATGAGCATGTAACTCTTAGGATGTTGCGGGCACTTTGACAAATTAACTAATCACTATATTCGAAGAGCATCAAATTATAAGATATTGAAAATAATTTGCATTTGTTGAACATATTCCAAATTGGGTTCAAAGTCGGATGACGCAATCTGGGTCAAGTCCGCGACATAGAACCAACGGTCGAAACTACAAGACTCCGCCGTCAGCCATAGCNTCTTCTGATGACGCAACAACAGATCGACCGAAGCATGGCGTTTCGGATTATCTACAAGTCACGAATCGCAAGATTGCTACGGTTTGCAGAAGCGATTGCTATCAGTCGATGGAAGTCCCCCTTGTGTCAACAAAAAGAACTTTATGTTAGTTTATCCTTACCCTGGTGATAGTCTTTTTACCCCTCCCCCTTTTATGTGTTTTTCTGCTTCATTGTATTTTACTCATCTTTGTTGCCATGCGAAATCCCTATATAAGTATTGTATTTTCTGCAGTATGCACCATGTTGAGATGCAGCGAAATCGTCCTGGACATAAATCCGTGCAGTATTGCAATTTGGTCTTTTCTCTTCAAATTGATTTCGGGAAAGGCTTGCTTCAGTCTGCATTTAGTCCACTAATTACTTGTCAGTAGTGGTGTGTAGCATGCTGGATGTTGATTGATTGGAACTGACCACTCTTCAGACTTCACCTTCACGCATATTCCGCAGCTCTTCCAGTTAACCGTGCATTCGGAAGCACTAAACTGGAGTTCCGCTCTTATTACAGCTTACCAGTAATGCATATCCACCTTCCAGTTCACAAAGATGTGTAAGGTAGTTCATATACTTCTTGAAAAAATAAAGGTTCATTTTTCTGTGCAATTGGTCGTCAGGGTAGTGTTCGACTCTATATCGCATATCGGTTGTAGAAGGTTTAAACAATACACCAGTATGGTCGAATCATTTGACAAGCCTCACATGACTGCAATATTTGCAGTAAATCAATTTGACATCCGTGAGGCAGTCAGCTGCACAATCTCTTTTGTTAACCAAAGTTTTTCGATATAAAATGGCTGGAGAAGTGAGCGTTTTTTCTGAACTTGATTGGAAATGGTGTAAGCACTTCAGAAAGGCGACAGCATGATTGGAAACGTGTTTCTTACTTTTTCACTGGTCAACCTTCTCCTGTATCTAACGGAATGTTCTTATATGACCGGGCGTCTTGCATAGCTTTTGCTGTCAGAAGTGATCTTCTATCAAATGAAAGTTAAGAAAATGCAATATCCGAAGATATAACCAATAGTTTACCTAGTTAGTTGGGTAGAGCACGATTCAAAACCAACCAAAATAGGCTTACGAACCATACCTGATTCTGGCAGTGAACACCGGCTTGACTAAGCAGGGAGGTGTTGTAGTATTCGGAATAGACACGAACTACGAACCACAGGCCAATAGTATCGATCAATTAAAGACCATGAAATTCAAATAGTCTTCTTTTGAATCGGAGAACACGAACAGCGATTGACGATTGTCTGTTTAATTAATGACTATCCAATGATGTTTTCATTTACATTTTATTTAATACTATTGATTATTTTCATTAAATGAAAGGCTACTTCAGTGGCCTTTTACCTCGTTTCGTTGACGATAGACTTCGGCAAACGAGTACTAGCACGATCTCACAACTCAATCGCCCTCGTGATTGCTGATTCGTGATTACTACTTCGTACGTCCTGATTCGTCATTCTTGTCTCATTGAAATTCTGCGGGTGTATTCTTCACCTGGGACTTTTGATCCCGGGTAAATGGCGTATGATTAGGGGAACTGAAAACGGGGATTGCAGTTTCCACACGCCGCTCTGTTGCCTTACGGGCTAGGCTTCGACTGGACGAATGACCCAATTACTTTCTGTGGCTTGGGCAACTTGGCAGTATTTCACCCGGGAAAGATCATAGATTGATTTCTTTTTTACACGGTTTGAGTGTACGACACACCGTCTGAACTCAGACAGTTACGGAATCTAATTACAATAATCCAATTAAAGCAAACCTCTCCGCTCTTATCTCCTGAAACACAAAATATAACGTACAAATGAGATATGAGATATGATATCTCTGAATTCAAAATGACTCACATCGATCGAATATCCTTTTTTCACACAGGATAGTGCCTTACGGGAAAATCGCAAGCAAACCTTTCCATTTTGATCCTGATGCAATTGAACTTGTCGAGCTAAATGGGGACCACTCCAATCGTAAACGTTCACTTCATCAGCTCCATCATGGCCAGCATCTGTGTTTCGTTCGTGGAATATACCACCATGGTCTGTGTAACCTTCCTGAAACAATAAGACACCGGGACGCTCGAAATAATTTATACATTATGGACAGACACTTGTAGTAAAAAATATAATTGATGCTTTTCGAGCACAAGGTGAAATTGTACCCCAAGCCGACCGCACTGTTTATATCCCCATAAAGGAGTGAACTCGTAGAATGTGACCTTACGTCTTGCTCATAGGAACTAGATTGCATTTTTTCGTCTACTTCAATCCGAAACTGTTGTATTCAAACCATCAAGTGTGATGCAGATAGGTTGTTGTTTTCCAGCCTTTTATCAGTTAAACCGCCAGGAAACAATGATTAAAACTCAGTATACAATGGGCGAAACGACACAGCTGTAGGAAACGTGACATGGTAACCCATACTGCATTCGTTTATATCATAACTTATTGTTGAAGAATATGCTAACACTTTGGGGATCGAAACCACGAAAAATCAGTAACTGCGGAATATAAAAAATGGAAATTGGGGTAGTAGTTGAGGGCTTTGAATCCACGAACGATGAGACGATGGATACACAGTCTCCGTCGCTCGCCTACTCACACCGAAAAGGAATTACTGCACTTCGACTGATACCTGCACTCTCGATCGATCCCACTCCATTGCAGTCCTCAACTCGCCAGAATGCAACAGTATGCCTCAAAGTGAAGCGCCCATCGCTTTAGCGGATAAATAAAACAATTGAAATTCTTTTATATGACCTGACAAAGAGTACTGAACAGCTGTCTCGTCCTGTTTGGGACTCGTCAGCGTTGCATACGTTCCATGTCTCTTCTGAGGTTCGCTTGAATTTCTGAAATGTTTGGATGCAAATGGTCTTCATAACGAATAATTATTTTAGCTTTGCCAACCAAAAAGAGTTTCTACAACGGTTTCGGACACAATGATCACTCATTAGTTTAAATTCTTCAGCATTAGATATGTTGGATAGCCGACCAGTAAGTTAACAGTTCAAACGATTGGGTGATAGAAAAGTCACGTGACGCGTAAGCGGCGAACAATCCGGGTCTGACTTTGACGATTCTGTCGACACGACACTGCCACCGATCGTTACAGGAGTGGACTCCATGAATGGAACAGAAACTGATAAAACTTTTACGTATCAAGTCGGTGTTTTTCACTCGGGGAATATTTAAAGGAATAACAATGCAGTTTATCAATCATCGTGTCACATGACCAAATTAGTACTCCCAGTTTTGCATGTTCTTCAAAATCATTGTGATCTTTGGGTGATCAGAACAAACTATCAGGGATATGCGGCCTAAATGTGTGTAATTAATTCCCCGGCAAAGATCACGAGTCTTATTCCATGAACTAAACTTCATTTTACGGTGATTGTGAGCATTACCAAGAAGGTTTGTTTTTCCTGTTGAATTTATTCTCGATTCGATTTGTAACATCAGAGATGCGGGAGATAAGTAGGGTTTCTGAGTAAATTTACTGACTGTCTCGGTATTTGTTTGCAAATATTCCATGGAAAAAATATAGAATAGCACCAATAAAAGCAATACAAATAACGACCTTGCAAAAATTAATCAGGTTTTGAAAGTTTTCAACCGAGTCTTGAACCCGGCGACTAGTGCTAAGATGAGCGAGGCGCGATGCCAGCAACAAGCTCACAAAGATATATCGTGTAAATGAAAAATGAACAAGAGGTTTGGCCAATTGCCTCGTAGCCGAGTGGGTAGCATGCTTGCGTTCTAGTTGTGGGGTCTCGGTTTCGAGACCCAGTTGGGTCGAGAAATTCGCACCGATGATGAGATGCAATTGGATCGAAACAGCTGCAAAGTGCCATTTAGCTTTTCAGTTCATATTTTCTATCTGTTCCATCTATACACGACCAATTCCCTCCATGAAATTGAATCCAATCCTCCTGTACTCTCATGTAACATTGTGGGAGTCGAAAGAAGACATAAAAATCTTAGGCTGTGTACTCTAGGGTACAGTTGAAGTAAACGAGCTGAAAAATAAGTGCTACACGAGTTTTGGTGAGCTCGGTGAACATCCTCTATCGAGCAACTGAATGACCATGTAAACATCTATGCCTGAACACTAACAGGAGGAGATTTAGTTTTCATCAAGTTTCTGATTGCACCAGTGTTATCATAGGCTAGTGAAGTTCTTCAACTGTGTGATCCTAATAAATGGTATGTTTGGTCTTCTCTCGTAGATTTGCTTCGCGAATTAGAGACACTTACACACCTGATTTAATCAGACAAGAGTCGAAGCATCAGTTGTTATTTTAAGGTCAACTACTGTGAGCTCGCTTCACTAGGAAGTTGATTTTTATCGCTTTCGGGAGGTCAGAACTGTTCGCGTAATTTTTGCATGCTGCTGCTGGATTCACCATCAAATTGTTTCATCTTGAACTCTTAACAAGTCAGATATGACAAAACACATTAGATACCCCTTCAGATTTCAAAGTTCGTTCTATAGACTTAAGCTAAACATCAGCTATTTGTAATCGATCTTCTTGTCAGATGTTGAGTGAATAAATCCAAAATTACAGCTACCAGTGCTACAGTGCCCTCGAATGATAGCACCACCTGGAAACTATCCCGTCTTTCGTCAGACAAAGTTCAATATACACGACAGTTCAACAGTAAGAAAATGATTAGGGTCCAGAGGGATGTTCCCAAGCAGCCGTTCTTCGGAATGAATAGGACCTCTCTTGCTTAAATAACGCCGTATATATATTTTTATGTATTCAGGAGACATTTGTGTCATAGGTAAAGCCTTAACCACGGCCCAACATCCGCGGTCGAGAATGTACGTGATCATGAATACTCAAGTTTCCCTGGTTGGTACACTTAAACAAGTTTTTATATAATCAAGTTGAGCAAATTTTGAGCCTCCACAGGATTCGAATCCAACCGTGGACACTGCTTCACCTGTCTGTGCAGCATACACCGACCGAATTAACTCTCAGGGTTCACAGTGGTTCGCAGTTGGTTGTTTACCCGACTTCCCCATGGTCTATGGATTCCACCATTCCAGCAGTCAGTTGCCGGTATCTGGTGGCACAATAGCCCCATGACTCAATTTGAAACGGTTTCAAATCAGGCAACAAATTTTTCTACTTATCATGCCCTATTACCATTAGCTTTTATGTAGTAATCGTGGTGATAGCATAGTCAAGAGCAGGGCTTAAACTGGAATTTCCTTGAAATAATTGGCCAAAATTGATTGCGAAAAAACCATGTAGATGGAAACATCTACCTTATTTAACCCAGATGTAATAACTTTTCATCTGATAAATACGATAGATGCGTAACTATTTTGATTGGGATCAACCTTTAGGTAGAATATTAAAAATAGCTATTTTTTGTTGTGTAAAGCATAGAAACTTTTAGCTGAATCAAATGACTGACCCACGGGGCACGAACACAGCTCCCTTCGAGTCGCAACAATCATCGTGTTTTTTTGTAAAGAACGGGTGCTTTGCTAGACAGAAGATTTAAATAACCATGGATTTTCTGCAATAAGCTAAATCATCGTTATAGAGCTCTCAAGAAGAGAACTTGTTGCCTCGCACACAGTTTCAGGTGTATGACAAACTTACCACAAATTCAGTTTGCATTTTTGGCATTTCACGATTGAATCGAAAACGTATCAAATAGGTGTCCATATCTACCGGTCCAGCATCCAGCGGTCCGAATCCAACCCCGAATAGTCGAGGTAACCGTCCGCGCTCCACCATTAGGCATACTTCAAATCGAAGCCTGTCTCCGCCAGTGCTGACTGACCAGTTGAAAGTGTACGGCGAACTGCCCGCGGACTCGTCCGGATTGGGAGTGGTACCCAGCTGTGCGGTGTAAGACAAATACCTGGTTTCTGCCCCATTGCTTGTTTGGAATATCAGCACTGTTAGCACATATCCAATGGCCAGAATCGACGTGGACATCAGGTCTTTGCTAGTGAAGTATCAACAGCATCAACGGCGGACATATTTATAAGGATACTGCACTTTGTGGTGTCACCGTCAGGTGTGTGTCGGTCAGTGGTGATCTGTCAGAAACATCTGTGCTAAACAGAAGACGAGTTGCATTCGAAAGGGGCATGAGCAGAAGACTGGCATAAAAGCTACTGGTCTAGATGGATGAGCGAATAGATGAATAATTTTTTGGATTCCGAAATATTTCCTTAAATTACAGTTAAATTATGTAAAATAATTGGCAATTCGGTTGAGAATTATGTTTACAGCGTTACTAAGTTAATTCGGATTACGCAAAACAAATAAAATGATTGATCAATCATGGTGAGTTGTTTTCAAACAACTTCCAATGTTATTTTCAAAAATTTGTGACTATCAGGGGTCCCTTGGTTATTTCTTTGGCGATATAGCTGCCCTACTTAATCGCGGCCTAAAGCATCAGACGATCTTGACACAGAAACCTTGTAATCGGGAAAGCGGGGTGGGGGGGGGGTAACTAGTTTGTCAATTTTTCGTCGCAACCCCGTCGAAGCAAATCAAGTCATGTCAAGTCAAGAGTGCACTTTATTCATCCAATGTGGACAGAATTTTCAGTGAAAAGAATGTTATCCCTTTTGCTTTGGCATACACACCATTAAAAACGAGTTCGAAGATATCACAAATAGTTACACTTAAATGATAATGAAGAGGACACTGAGAACACGTAACAAACGAAGAAAATTTCATCATGAAAATTTACATCAGACTGTGCACAAGTTCGTTTGATATTCGTCCCCTGGAAACCAACAAACGTGAAAGGTAAGGTACAGCGGAGTTGTGAAAAGCAGAGGTACGAGTACATAAAGGTTTAAATTTAATGCGAGTGACAGAAGTTGAAATGGAACTACACCTTTTCCCATCAAGCTTTAGCCAAAACCCCTCAATCCTTTAGCCAAAACCCGAAATCCTTTAGCCAGAACCCACAATCCTTTAGCCTTGACCTACATTTCTTTAGCCAAAACCCTTAATGCTTTAGCCACGACCAGCAGTCCTTTAGCCTCGACGCACAACCCTTGGTCACACAGCTGTAGGCGAGTCAGAACAGAAACTATTCGTATATTTTGAGGTCAACGAATGTTGAAAATGCTCCCGTTCATCGGAGAGCTTTGGATACGCAGTTAAATGCCAACCACCATGTCCGATTTCTCCCACCATATAGTCCCTTTTTCAATCCATTGGAAGAGGTCTTCAGTAAATTCAAACAGGTGAGAGATTTTATTCTTTTAATTCCCTTATCATTTAGTACATTAAAAACTGGTTCACTGAAGACACTGAAGCCATAAGAGATGTACCAAATGGTTTGACGATACGGACACATCGTCTAAACCTACTCCAATCACTATGTGGTGCGGCATTTGATACCGTTACTACAGTCAACTGTGCGGCCTACGATCGTCACACCTCATTTATTAGTCAAGCTTTGCAATATGAAAATTTGTAAAATATAAATTTTCCCAACATTCGTTGATCTCAGAATATACGGATAGTTTTTGTTCTGACTCGCCTACAGCTGTGTGACTAAAGGTTATGCGTCGAGGCTAAAGGACTGCGGGTCGTGGCTAAAGCATTAAGGGTTTTGGCTAAAGAAAGGTAGGTCAAGGCTAAAGGATTGCGGGTTTTGGCTCAAGCTTGATGGGAAAAGGTGTATATAGGTCTGTGTGTAAGGGATGTGACACATCGGACAAGATGCAGTCACACAGATGGTCACGCGCATTCAGGTGTTGTTTGACAATGGAATCAACCAGCTCCTCGTTCGATACAGCTCCATATCTAGAGATACTTCTCGGAGAGCGTCTAATCAATATGAAATCCTTAGAGAGTAGGCCGGGGACGATAACGGGGGAGCAGTAGGTCCAATGGCATAAAACTCATGAGAAAATAAAATTTGAACCGATGTACAATGACCCCCTCAGATGTCGAGGGCGTGAAATATAAAAGGTCAGCCCTCTGAACGTGAGAAATGTTTGTTCTACATGACAGGACCATTTAAGGTCAACAGACTGGAAACATCGAAGATGTTTGAAGTGTTTTAACCTTTCAACATTTAAGCTACCGATTAAGATGTTTGGAGCGGATGATCCAGAAATCGTTGGTGGTCTACGGTTAATGAGAAACAAAACTTCAGTTCATTTGTTCCGGTTTAAAGAAAGGTTAACACCATCGAACCATTCAGAAATGGCTGACTGAAGGGGGATCATTGAAGGATCGTTTTTCTGAGATGCACCACCAACTAGTTTGTCATCGGCATATTTAAAAGTGAAAACATTTTGGGTGACTGGCATGTTTTGGATGTAAAAGAAGAACAGAAAAGGGGATAAAGTTGTACCCTGTATTACATTACAGTAACAGTGAAAGACCTTATACCATTCAAACAAGTGAATTGGCGTCGGTCGGTAAAATAGTCGTGCATCCAATTGAAAAGATATGTTGGGAGATTATGTTGCCATGGGATGTTTCTGTAAACAGAGTTAAAAGCGTTTGTGTAGTCCAAAAAAACATAAGTTTCTGAATTATTTGTACATTCTTCCACTCTCTAATCAGTTCTGTCTCTAATTTGTGCTTTGTATTGGAAATTCTGGAATGTTAGTACACCTTTTGGAAAGAACAGTCCAAATATTTTCTATCGGATTGAAGTTTGGGCTGTATGTATACCACGCTTTTGTTTTAATACCTCAAAATTATTGCCAGGCTTTTAGTCGATACAAGTTGTCTACAGCGGTATTAGCATACTAAAAATGGCTTCAGGATCTACACTTTACCAGGACTTATTGCATCTTCTTGTCATCTCATATGTGCCGAAGTTGATCTAACGAGAGAAACCAATTCTGGTCAAGTAAGCCTCTGACAAACGCGCCATGGTTGGCAATGCATTGTAGTGACCTAACTGTGGTTGCTAAGCCACTGATTAAAAAACAATCCAGTCACCGAGGTTCAACGGAATAAATTCAAATAATTAGCATTTGACTCAGTTACTTTTGAGTAGTGGTGTGGGTTAATTGATCTTTATTAATTTGAGCTGACTATACTTCGGACTTCACCTTCACGCACAATTCTCAGTTCATCGATTCAACCATACGCTCGGAAGCACCAAACTCGAGTTTTGCCCTTATTGGAGCTTATCAGTAGTGCATATCCACCGTTCCGTCCGGGAATTGAACTCCATTCCTATAGCATGGAAGGTGTGTAAGTTACCGCTGTGCCAACCAGCTCATACTGTGGCTGAACCAAATAGCCAATTCATGTTCAGGTGTCGCTGAAGGCGACAGTCAGGTTAAGAACACAATGTAGGCGAACATACGTTTTCGGTGAATTTCTTTTCAAACCTTTACAATCACATTTATATGAAACAATTTCAGTAGGGTCAAAAAGAAAGGTGGATGAGTCATGTGTTTGATAATGAGACCGAGATAACTCGAAGTTCGTACGCTGTTTGGATTACGTAACCAAAAGTCGATATGTTACATCATGGTCATATGGACAAGTGATTTTCTCTTCCGTTCGCCAGGGGAGTCTGAGAGCTTGGATCAGTTTTTGTTGTGCGCACACCTCAGGCTTCATGAGTCGGATGGTAATCGCCTCTGCGGTTGCCAACGTCCGAAACCGTATTGCTCTCGAGCGTTGTGGTGAGACTCGATAAATGATTGTAAATGCCGAGCATATGTCAACCAAGTGTCCCGTCTCGACCAGATGAGCAACAACCGAGAATGACACAGTTCCAATCCTATCATGTATGAGCGCGACAGCAACGAAGGGAGACAGATGACTATCTGTTAACTCCAATCGAAAGTCTCCCACCAAGTCAGGAAATGCATGGAAGTGCTTCACACTTAACAGAGTGGACCGGGTGCATCAGAGCCTCATCCAGTCGGAATGAACTGATTTCACCATAAGCAAACAAAAGTACTTTTTGATTGAGTTACCAAGCGTGGATGAAAGTTTCCGTGGAGCGGGGTTTGAGTGTTCGTCTGCCTCCACCCCCAACCTCAGAAGAGAGAAGCATCGTCGTAGTGATGACAACTGAGAACAACACTATTGTCGTTTCCGGCTACGACAGAAGCACAACTTTGTTGCAAACAATCCTTGCGGGTGAGTATGACGCGAAACTAGCTCATTATGATACCCACGAACTGAAAGAACCACTTAGATTTACTATCTATAGTCTGGGCAAGAGGTTCATAACCAGATTCTTGCCCTAGGTAAAAGAAAAAATGGGCAACCCAGAGCTGTAAAAAGAAATTGAGGCTTATAACAAACTGTTTGTAGAACAACAAACAAAAGATAATTTGCAAAATTTCGTATTTCACCTTTCATTCGGCTGCCGCCTAGATTCTCCAAAATTCCAAGGGGGTGCAATACTTTTTGTGGCGAGATGTATACCGTGTGCACACTTGGAGGAAGTGCACCCCAGACTGGTACTCACGCACAGATTCGCAATCAGAGTTTTACTACTTTTATAATTATAAGTAGATGTGCGTGAACTACAGTGAGGATATTTTTATGAAGATCCGACAGTAGCGCACCCTATGCAACTCAATATCCATTTCTTCTTTTGACTCCACGTGATACTCAAAAATTTCAAGGCTTTCAGACGTGCCACAGGAATGTAGGCATCAAAGAAGTCAACCTAAGAGATTACCAGTGGATAGTGGACAGATCGACCGGTTCACAGGTACACCAAAAGGCGATACTATATATTTTCAACTTCTAGTGAATCCGTTTCTCCCTCAAATCATTCGCACTGGGATCAAAGATCACTCTTTCTGTATCCGAAATTGAAATAAATCCAACTGTTGTTGACTACTTTGACTAAACTGGGATAAACCTCAATAGTTGAAAGTTTGCGCCCCAACGAAATGCGAAATGTTGACCAACCCAACCTAGTCTGCCGGTTTTGCATGATCTTTTGGTTTTACCGATGCATGAACTGCCTG